TAAGGCGAAAACGGAACAATCATACATTTTCAACATTGAGCATCAGAATACGAGACGGATCTCAACTAAAAATTTGAAATTAACTTCTCGGGCACACCTTTCAGAAAAAGGCAGCGCCAGAGTTTAGAGCGGTCGACTGAGTCGAAAGCCGCTTTCAAATCTAGGAATACAGAGATGGTGGGTCTACGAAAAGAATGCCGGTGCTCCAGAATTTGGCGCAGAGTGAAGATGTGGTCAATAAAACCTCGACCGGGTCTAAAACCAACCTGGTTCTCACGCGTGTCTATAGCAAATGAAGCGGGAACTGAGAGGCTCGGAAGCACAGCTGGACAGTTGCGCAGACCTGGGTGGGTGTCATCAGCACTGCAAATCCATCGACCCAACTGGGGATCGAACCCGGAACCTCAAAGGTAGAACGCAAGCATGCAACAAACTCGTAAAGATGGGTTGTGTAAATGGAAAAGAAAAAACGGTCTGATCAGCTATTTGGGGTAACCGAGTGGGCAGCATGCTTGTGGTCTACCCGTGATGTCCCGGGTTCGATCCCCAGTTAGGTTGAAGGATTTGCGCACTGCTGATGAGATCCAACCAGGTCGAAACAGCTGTCCACCAGTGCTTCCTGACTTTTAAGTTCACACTTGAATTGAATTGATGAAAAAAATTAGAGTGAATGAATCGTTTAGGCAAATACAAACAAAACGGAAATTCTGTGCAGGATAGGCTGGAACCATGAACAACACTATCACATCCCGGTCAGTGTGATTGAAAGCCCCCAAGTTCATGCTCAAAATATTTAGGACAAAGAAACGGATAGAAAATTGACAGACGATCAAATCATCAACAAATGTTACAAAATTTTTGGTTTTGGTGATGGTGGTCTCACTGCGTAGACGGTGATGTTCGAACACCTACAGCCTATCGTTATCCTGTTTTCGCAATAGACAAGTTTCTGTGCCGTATAACAGAACCGGTCGAACCGTTACAGAATATAATCGATCCTTCACAGACGATTGGATATTACGGCAGCGCTACAGGTGTAATATTGCATCGACAAAGTTGTTGCGCAGATCAGCCAACAGATGAGAAATTCGAAAGAAGAGAGTCAATTAACCGTTTTTAAGGGCGTGATCGCAAGATGTCATAATTTACACAGTTAATGCAAGCCACGGGGTTGTTTCATCAGTGCTTAGTCACTCGTTAAAGTTACAGCATATGATGGGATTCCTCACATATTAGTTTGAGAATATTACTTATAAACTGGTTCCTATCTATCTATAATCAAGTCAAGTTAAGTTTTATGTATCTAGTATGATGAATGGATTTTCAGCACTTTCAATAAATTACAGTGAAGGAAACATTAAACAATAATAAAACACTAAACGTTCATTAAATAAAAAAACAAATAAATGTGATAAAAGTTTGGTGGGATAGGGGAATTTCCAAGTGAGTGCTGGCAGTTACCCGATTTACTAAGATACGAGTAAAATACGGGATTATGATGCTGTTCCGGTAAGCGGTGGATCTTACGCGCACGAAGAATCCTAAATTTGGAACATGTATTCAAATGAAACACCAATTTAATTTTCTCTTGTCTATCTCTCTCTCTTTTTTTTACTTCCTGTCATTGATTATACAATGATACAATTTTCACGAAGCGAGGGAAGCGACCAATCAAAGGGCCGTCATTCAACAACAATCAAAAAAGACAGGCCACATTGGTAGTGAGATTCAAACACACATCCCGAGGTGGCAAGTTGACGATGTTATCACCGAGTCACAGTCGCCCATGTTCGCAGTGTTCTTCATTTGACAATAAATGATAAATGATAAATCTATCTCATTCATCAAAATGCTTGAAAACACAATAAAAACAACCAAAATAGCTTCGCGAATGCCACGGCAACTGCAAGGATTTTTGAAGTAATGTGGAAAAGAGATCGGGGAAAAAATACTGGGGAACAGTACATCCAAAGTGGAAAAACTCATTCTGTCACAAATTTAAGGAGACACCAAGCTTTTTTAAGTTTGAAAGCCTCGTATTAATGATTAATCTACGAGCCTGAATATCATTGATTTCAACACGATTGGATCAATAAGGATTATGTGAAAGAGTCATTCCAAGTTATTAGACAGAGTCAACATTGGGGATGATATTATCGTGAGATCAAGTTCAACGGTTTGATAATAAGTACCTGTTTTAAGGCGAAAACGGAACAATCATACATTTTCAACATTGAGCATCAGAATACGAGACGGATCTCAACTAAAAATTTGACTTTGACAGTCTTAAAGTTCGCGGAAACTGTCAGAATCAGTCAAGGGACAGCCAATCAGCACCAAATCATCATGCTTGAACGCGATAGAATTGACCTGGACGGGAATTTTGTTAATGTACATTGAGAAAAAAAAGAAAGAAATGGAGACAAAATCGCACCATAAAAAACTCTTCAGGTTTGACCTCTAATAGGGAGGAAGATTAACCGTCACAAAACAA